CATTCAGCGTACAATAACACAGACTCCGTCACATTTAATTCACACCTCTTTAAACATTCGTACGGCCACGAAATGTAGTGAGGCGGATCGGGTCACGAGAAGCTCTTTAGAGACCTGTACTGGGCCACCAGAATGTAGTGATGTAGGGTTAGTTAGCGTAGGAGCTCCACTACAATCAATATTTAATGACGGGTTCTCTCTTTTTCGAGCTACTTGACAGATATGTGAGAGAGATATTGTGTTTAGACGCACTGTGTGGAGAAGGTCTAATCAGTGACGTGAGACGTTAATTTTCTTTGACCCATCAAAATGAATGTGGTCATTTATTAACAGAATCAAAATTTAACATCAAACATTGTACACGTGATTATTCTGATTGAACGCAATAACACAGCTTAATTAATGAGCTTTACAATGAGAAATCATACGGCCATGACTTCTCACTTGCAACTTATTACAACAGACATATCCTTAGATCTTAAATCAATATCTGCAGACTTTTAGCTTATCTTTTACTGGCGAGATAGAAGAGATGGAGTAAAGTTTAAGGAGGGAAAGTGGATACTTAGGGTTAACTAAGATAATAAAGAAAAGATGGGGAGTTATCTTGTTTGAAACCAGATAGCACGTTTCCCAGTGATTTCGGCTAGATGTACCCGAGCGTCGACCCTTTACCTTGGTGGGGTTTCAGAGAGGTCTTCTCCTGGCGTCCAACAAGGCTGAGTCTTTTTACCTCCAGGGATTTATCCGCGTCTCATCAACTTAGGATAACGAAGCTGACTGGCCCAGCTTCCAAAATAAACTTCCCCGAAAGTTAAGTGGAAACATGCTGAACTCCTTCTCAGCAGAACTCTCTGTTCTCCATGGAACTTCTGTTCATCCTCCAGAACTTCGGATCACTTCACTTCCCAGAACTTTTCTGTTCGGTTCTGCTCTCAGAACTCCGGTTCATGTCTCAGAACTGACTGGAACTAGGAAGTGTCGACATTTAAAGAGTTCTGTTTCCGGTCCCTTCTGGGAGTCCTGATTGGTTGAAAGAACCAACAGGGGTGGGGTTTTAGTGACGTAAGAGGTTACTACAAGTCAGAAAAACAGCGGAGATGTTTAAGAACAGACAGAGAAATGTTTTGGAGCAGACAGAGAAATGTTTAGGTGAAATGACAGACCCCAGGTGCCAGCTTCTCTGTTTCTGTCTGAGAGGTTTTAAAAACATGACAGTTGTAGTGAACCAGATGACCTCAAATCTACCAGATGGACAGAGACTGTTATTTTCATTGATCTGAATAAGTCTGGGCCATCTGATGACTTTCTTTCTTGAATTAATCAAGCAGAAAAGACAATTCTTTATAATCATTACTGTCTTACAAATGTTTTGATAATCAAATTGTGTTAGTTCACTCAATGCTTATAGGTTGAAAAGAACTACTCATCTTTATTTTACATAAACAGTAAGTAATGATTTTTATTCCTCATTCCAAGAAGAAATCACCTGAATAAGCATTCCTTGATTTTCTGTCTGAAATGAGTCAAGTCGTAAGTATGTGAAAGGTTGGTTTTCGGTCAACTAAAATGTTTACCGAGAAAAATGTCATGTTTAAACTTTTTCAGAAGATTACCAAGAGTTGACTCCACGAAGTCTGCTGTTGCTGCAATAATCTTTTCTGTATGTGAAAACAAATTTCATTCTCTGACCTCGACTGTTGATAAACACCTTACGTCAAAACCACTCCTCTTTCTGGTCCTTCCACGAATCAGAAAGCTCTAAATTAAACAGGAAGTCGACCCAAATAAAATGTGGCAACTTCTCAGTTCATGTTAGATTGAGAGTTCTGGAGAACGTGAGAGTTCCAAGATTGAGAGTGCAGTCGGTTCTGAAAGCTTCAGAGCAATGAAGAATCCAGAGGTTTTTTGGGGATTATAATTCTGTTTTGAGCTAACCACGCACGACTCTCTGAAGGTTTGGTAGCTCTCGACGGAGACGCTGAAACGAGTCAGAAAGGAACTACTCCAAGGCTGATTCATCATCAACAGGTAGATGGTTCTATTTTGACCAAGTGTACCGTGAGAAGCTGAGATCGGACGGAGCGTGCAACTTCTGGTCAAACAGATTAAATTCCCTCACATATTTCCTCTGTAAGATAAATCTCAATTTAATCTTAAACTCTTCTCTCTCATAAATCAGTACAGATATTTTTAGAAATGTCTGAAGCAAAGTCCTCAAATCACCGCCGAGTGATTTGAAGTTCATTTTCTGTGAAACTGTCTGTTATTATTTTCATATTTTGCCAAATTAATGTAAATGTTTGATGTTAAACTTTGATTTTGAAAATAAATGATTCCATTCATTTGATGGGTCAAAGATAAATAACGTCTCTCGTTACATTTTGTGTTAAATTCAATGCACGGCATTTACAGTCAGAAAAATGAAGAACTCGTGAAAAGTATGCATAAATATATATCCATATATTTGTCATACAACAAGTGACACGTACCTCACGTGACTCACTACACAGTTCATTCCAATAACTTCTTTCTGACTTTTGACCGACATCATTACTTCTCATTTCAGACGGAAGATCAAAAAATGCATGATTACTCTGTAACAGACATTAACTTGATTTCTACTTTGAATGAGGATTAAAAAATCATTAATACTGTTTCACAGTTGATTTAAAATGAGTAGTTCACTTCAACATTTAAAATGGTTTGAACTAAACACCTTTTGATTATCAAGACATTGTAAAAATAGTAATAAAAAAAGAGTGTTCTTTCAATTGATTAGTGCAGGATACAATTAGAAAGTCTCTGGATGAGCTTAATTTGTATTTCTGGACTCAAATCAATGAAATAACAGTTCCTGTCCCATGAAGGTCCTCAGGGTCAGGTTTTGACCTGAGGCTTAGTTCACTACACCCAGGATGCTTCGATAGCGGCCTTAAACTCATCCAGAGTTTTGGGTCTTGCGTCTCTCAACTTTCTCTTCACAATATCCCACAGGTTCTCTATGGGGTTCAGGTCAGGAGAGTTGGCAGGCCAATTGAGCACAGTAATACCATGGTCAGTAAACCATTTACCAGTGGTTTTGGCACTGTGAGCAGGTGCCAGGTCGTGCTGAAAAATGAAATCTTCATCTCCATAAAGCTTTTCAGCAGATGGAAGCATGAAGTGCTCCAAAATCTCCTGATAGCTAGCTGCATTGACCCTGCCCTTGATAAAACACAGTGGACCAACACCAGCAGATGACATGACACCCCAGTGACTGTGGAAACTTGACACTGGACCTCAAGCAATGTGAATTCCGTGTCTCCTCTCTTCCTCCAGACTCTGGGACCTTGATTTCCAAAGCAAATGCAAAATTTACTGTAATCAGAGAACATAACTTTGGTCCACTCAGCAGCAGTCCCAGGCGAGATGCTTCTGCCGCTGTTTCTGGTTCAAAAGTGGCTTGACCTGGGGAATGCGGCACCTGTAGCCCATTTCCTGCACACGCCTGTGCACGGTGGCTCTGGATGTTTCTACTCCAGACTCAGTCCACTGCTTCCGCAGGTCCCCCAAGGTCTGGAATCGGCCCTTCTCCACAATCCTCCTCAGGGTCCGGTCACCTCTTCTCTTGTTTTCTGCCACACTTTTCCCTTCCCACAGACTTCCCACTGAGGTGCCTTGACACAGCACTCTGGGAACAGCCTATTCGTTCAGCAATTTCTTTCTGTGTCTTACCCTCTTGCTTGAGGGTGTCAATGATGGCCTTCTGGACAGCAGTCAGGTTGGCAGTCTTACCCATGATTGTGGTTTTGAGAATTGAACAAGGCTGGGAGTTTTTAAAAGCCTCAGGAATCTTTTGCAGGTGTTTAGAGTTACGTCGTTGATTCAGGTGGTTAGGTTAATAGCTTGTTTAGAGAACCTTTTCATGATATGCTAATTTTTTGGGACAGGCATTTTGGGTTTTCATGAGCTGTATGCCATAATCATCAGTATTAAAACAATTAAAGACCTGAAATATTTCAGTTGGTGTACAATGAATCTGAAATATATGAAAGTTTAATTTTTATCATTACATTATGGAAAACAATGACCTTTATCACAATATGCTAATTTTTTGAGAAGGACCTGTAGTACTGTAAAAACAATTATTTTAAATGACAGCCACGTGGCAGTCCCTGTCATAGTTTCTCCAGGAACTTTCTAATAATTGTTCTATCCTTTACACAACCAGCCCTTCGAAAGGACCAAAATAACCAATTTTTTATTTTGGGGAGAATTCTAAATATGTTTGTTTTTTTCTTGTAGATCCTGCTCCTCTGTCTTCAAGCTGACTAACTTAACTCCAGGATGAAGCTCAGCAACATAGAGAACAAGTTGTTTACTCAGGTCATTTAAACCTAACCCTAACCCATTCCCTGTCAAAATTTAACCCTACACCAGGTCTATTCAAATAAACTGCTCAGGGGGGCACAGTTTCTGAAAACCAGCAGCTCAGGGGCCGGACATCCAGCAATTAAAGTCATTATGTAAATAAAACAAGTTTTACAATGTTCTGTTACCTTTTTTTTTATTATTTTGCTGCATTGAATCATAAATGCAATAAACAAAACCCAAAAGTGTAATTCAAAGAAATTTCATGTCAAGATTTATTTCCTTGCAGTAAAAGTAGTGATGATATAATGTGAAATAATATTAGAAACCAAAATGACACACTATACCTCCTATTTAACGTAAATACTATTCTACCATCTCTGACTTGTCAAATCTCTACGCTTTCAAAATAAAAAAACACGCTAACCGTTTTTGACCAACATGTTGCTGCAGTTCCAGGTGGGTCCATTAAGAACCAGTTCTCATTTACAATGAAACGATTGCACAGACCAGTTCTTCCTCTAACGGTTCATAAATCACAGGTGAGGCATCCACATCCACTCAGGTGTGAGCTTTGAGCAGAACCAAAAGAGGCTGAGCAGAACTCTGGTGGGCTAAAAGTGAGAGATGCGTGTGCATGTCGAACATCACCTTCGTGTCATATACTATAATGTATCTATACATTCATTATCTTTACCTGCTTCTTCCTTTTTGGGTCGCGGGGGTCACTGATGTCCATATCCAGCAATCACTGAGCGAGAGGCGGGGGACACCGTGGACAGGTCTCCAGTCCATCACAGGGACACATAGAGACAAATGAGACAAACAACCATTCACTCTCTCACTCTCACCTAGGGACAATTTAGTTACCAATCAGTGCATGTTTTTGGTCTGCGGGAGGAAACTGGAGTACCCGGAGAAAACCCACACATGCATGGAGAGAACATGCAAACTCCACCCAGAAAATTCCCTGACTGAGATTTGATCTTCTTGCTGAGAGGCAACAGCTCTGAGCCACCAATCCATCATGCCATCCAAACTAGTAGACTAGGAAGAGCATTTTAGACACAACATAAAAATAATTTGTATCCCACAGGGAAGCTGATCGATTGAGCTACTTTCCAATGTAATCCCTAACTCCTGGGAGCTGACAACTTTGAGAAGTTGGTCATCAACAGTGTGGTGGATGGGCGTAGTTTTTGGATCACGTGGTTTCTGTAGTGATGTTAAGATCACCTGTTTGCTCACCTAGTGATGTTGTTAATGAGTGGGTGATGGGGGAAGTTTACATTTTTTGCTGACAGCCTTTTAATTCTTGCCTTTTATGCTGGAAACTGGATTTGTACGCTGCTCTGGGATATGATTCACGGATGTTTTGTCTTGGAATATGAAAACGCCAATAAAGGAATCTTAACTGCAGCTTGGATTTATGTCTTAAACGTGGGCGTGTCAACAATTTCCCCTACTCAGCTGCTCGGTGACTCAGTTTGTTTGACAGTCTCCAATAAATAGAACGCACCATACTCTACAATCTAAACCACCAATAGATTCTAACCTCATCTATTGATTGTGTTAGTACACCTTGTACAGGAGAGTGGAAAATTATGTGATTTGGCATGCATTGAGCAAATAAATATGGCAGCAAACCAGCCTTCGTTTGCTCAGTCTACATTGCAGAGGTGATGGGGCAGTGACTGAACTTTTGTGAATCAAGTCAGATGCTAAGAGTTAAGGTGATCCAACACTCATTACACTTCCAAGACAAGTTGCAGCTATGCCATCAATGGCCTGTACAGCTGCTGCTGCCGCCAGATGCTGATAACACTAGCACTATTTGCCGCCAGGGCATCTGCCATCAATCAGTTAACAAGTCTCTGCTACTGTCACGGATTGTAGAGGTAGGACTTAAGATTGCAGACTGACAGGAGGAGCTTTAGAAAAACATGAGAAAACAAAAACCAAAGTTTTTTTTTAACAAAATAAAAGGCTGACATGGCAGCAACAAAAAAATCTCAAGGAGACATGGAGGAGAACCAGACATGTCACATGTCATGAAGCACGCACAAGTCAATGAGAAGAAACCGAAATGTCTGAAGAAAACTCACACACAGGGGGAACAATCAAATTCCACACAAAGAGGCCAGGAGATGAACCATAATTATGGACTTGTTTTGATCAGTTGGTCCCTCAACTCAATTTACAACATTTCTTCAAAGAGACGACAGGCTTTAGGCGAGCCGATTTGCCCTGTTGGCATGCATGCAGCTGGATATCTCATCGACTTGATGATATGCGTCTCTGCTGCCATTTGTGGATTTTAAGTATGCATATTTAATTGGATTTACGATAACTAGTTCCTGCTTTTTGGATTTGGCTGGTTGCTGGTTTTATCTACAATCAAGGAAGTTGTCGGCAGCAAATTTTGGACCTGATCATGCTGCTTGCCTTTATGATGGCTTGGTTCATGTCTCGAGTACCCGGACTTAAATGCTTTGGGCAGAATGGATCAGATCTTGGGGATTTTATTCAGTCACGTTCCATCTGTGTGGCCATGTAATTTGGACATTTTGGAACTGAGTGCACCAACACAGACTCAAGGTTAATGTCATTAAGTTCTGCCTGTCCCCAAAACAACTGTGTGTTTATCTGAATTTGTCTCCCTTGGCTGGCCTTAAAGGTCATCTTATCTGAATTTGACTGGAAAATGTGATCTGACGCTCACCACCCCCTCCCTGAGGAATTTCCAACAGATAACCAGATGAAACCAGCTGAATAAACTTTGTGTCGTCATTTCAGGACTCTTGGATTCTCATTGTCGTTATTCTTGGCCATTCCTCGACATACCTCGAGAATGTTTATGGATCTTACCGAAGGACATTGACTGATTATTACATCTTTATCAGAATGCTTACAGTGACCTCGAGAGCATCTATGATCATGCTCACCGCTCTCGCCTCCCCCCTCCTGCAGAATGTCTACGTCACTATGTGCTTGTTTGCGCGAGGTGTTTTTTAATATCAGTTTTTTCTTCTCAGGCAGGAACAAAAAAAGTCTGATGGGAATTTTTTTGCCTCCAAATACCTACGTGTCCAGTTTATCACTTTTATTGTCTGTCCAAACAGGTCTCACTTGTAAATGAGTCACTGAGGCTCAATGTGACTTATCTGTTTAAATAAAAGTTGAATGAATGAACCTGCAACTTTCTCACTACTCCGCTTACGAATAAAATGTTCTGACTCTAGTACCCTTCTCAGGAGGAGCAATAGGAACAGCTTCTACTCTGAAGCTGTTAGACTCATGAATCCTTAATCTGGATTATCACTGTGAAAAAAAAATCACTGTAATGCCACTTGATTGTTGATATGTGCTGCTGACTATCCATGATGCTGATCTCATGCTGTTGATTATTTTGTTCTGCTGTGTTCATTCATACTCATCTGCTCACACTGACTCATGTTCATGCTGCTGTTGTTCGGCGTATTGTTTTTGTATTTAGTATATTCTTAGTTTAGCATATTTCTTAGTTCATATATTAGCTCTTATTATTGTTTTTCTTTACAATTTACACTTTTGTTGGATTTAACAAGAGACCCTGTGTACACAGTTTTGTTCCACCACATGTACCACATGTACCACATGTGGTGCGAATGACAAATAAAGAAACCCTGACTTTGAGACTGTTCCATGATGCTCCCTGATTTAAAAATGTTTCTTCTTGTAACTTTTCAGGAAAAAAAACAACAACCGTATATTTTTGAATTTGTTGTTATTCTGTTATTATTGTGGCTTTGGGTTTGAAGGCATCTTTGTTTTTTCTCTAAAATAAACTAAAACCACTATTGCCCTGGTTTCTTATTTGATATGATGTTCATGTTTATGTTACTAGAAATACTTTAATTGCTAGGGGAACACTGCTGTTAAAAAGTGCCTTTTTTTGAAAATGTTGCAAAGCTTTTTTTATATAAAACAATATCTTAAAATACCCTAAATGTCTCTGAGTCAAATTTTGTGCATAATAATGAGATTAATCGATATTAATCTCATGTCAGAATGTGCTCTTATTGTGAAAGGGACAATATAAATGGAGTGGATCAACGGTTGTAATTCATTTGTTTTTTCTGAGCTTGGTGTTGGAAGACGTATAGAATAAATCAAGACTCAAAATATTTTTCGTCTCTTTCTGCCAACTTCCACATTGGTGACCCCGAACATGTTTTCGAATGAGAACTCACCATATGCTGACGCTGCTTCTCCATCAGCCGTGTTTTCGTACCAAGTTTTTTGCTGGGCAGACATTGCTCTAACCGCAGTGGTCTCGTCTCCTGCCGCCGCTTCATCTGCTGTGTTTGCGGCCATTTTTAAGCTTCCAGAGTTCTGGCAACACAATCTGGAACCATTGTTCCAGCATGTGGAAGCCCAATTTCATCTCCGTGGGATAACCACAGACAAGACCTAGTACTTTCACGTCGTTGCTGCTTTGGATTCTGGTTCCACCCACCATCTGATGGGTCTGCTGTGGGACCCACCAAGCACTAACAAATATAGTGCGCTCAAGGAGAACCTGCTGTGGCTTTACCACCTGTCAGATGTGGAGCGGGCTGACAGTTTGTTGTCCCTGAGTGGCTTGGGGGATCGCAAGCCCTCCGAGCTGATGGAGAACATTCTGGCGTTACTTGGCTCAGGGGATGTTTCCTTCCTTTTTACACACCTGTTTCTTCGCCAGCTTCCTCCACCTGTTCACACCCCGCTGGCCAGCTCCCCGCTGATCCAGACAAAAGATTTTCACTGAAGAATCGGACCAACTTTTGTTAGCTTCCAGGCACTCCAGTGTGCAGGCACTTTTACCAGGTGTGACTCAAAGGTGGGCGGAGGCTGTTGATGCCGTGGCTGCGGTGACAGAGTGGCGAAAGGATGACGTGCTTTTCTTCTACCACCGCCAGTTTGGAGTAAAAGCGAAGCGCTGCATTCCTCTGTTCATTCCATGCTTCAGGGGACCGAGAGGGCCGGTGCTTGCTAGCAGCTGTGTGTGCTGGCAACTCAGATAAGCTGCTTTTCAATCATGGATGAGGTTTCTGGATGCTGTTTCCTGGTGGACTCGGGTGCACAGCGGAGCATTATGCCAACTTCATCTACAGA